TTAATGTGCATAAACAATCCTTAGTTCGCATTTTTCGAACAAGATATTTCGCGCTTTGTAGACACAACATAATCGAGCGCCACGCCGAGCAACTAGCACAATAACATGAAAGATTTCATCATTAAAGGAAAATCAAAAAAAAGAAATAATCTAATATAATCTTGAACAAACATATCAGAATTTAAGCACAGCTTGAAATTATTTTTCTGTCTCACTAAAGACATTTCTCGAGAATCGAAGTTTTGTAAGTGCATGTCATTGATCACATAACCCTGAACAGATTTTTAGGCCCTCTGCCCGGAAACAGTCAACCTAGTGTCGTCCAGAAATTGGGGTTCAGCCCACACCCGAACAGCCGCCATCCTTGCAGTTCAGCCAAGCATCGTACAACACCACTCGATTATTTTTCTGAATGGTGTAAACTGCTACGGGTTTGGGATCCTTTGCAACTCCATCAAGAATCAATTACAGCAAATCCAAGCCACCACAAATTAGTGATAGTGATCACAAAAGAAAGCAATAAGTACGAAAACCCTCTCCACATAAAAGCTGACAATGATTGAATGTACCACAAAGGTATTTTCACGACACATCACGCAACAAGATATTTCCAGTACGTTTTTCAGTGCCTAACTCATTAATTCAAACACCCTTCTCATCACCAAAGAATGCAATGACCTACAACTGTGTTTGAAAATGCCCCCTCTTTTATATCGACCGACTTACTGAAGCAGAGGTTAAGAAGTGTTTGAGAATTGAAAGGGCCACGGTGGAAGCTTCAAAAATAAATTGTTCGGAAGGAGAGTTTGGTAATGTAGTAAAATTACTTACTACTTACTTATCAATAAAAATCAAAGCAATGACAAAAAAGAAATTTAAAGTTCCCCCTTGAACTCATTATACAAAGTAAGATTAAGAATTACGTAAGCCTACAAGTCACAACCACTTGTTACTCTTTTTAGTGAATGCATATCTTCCCTACATATTCTTGAACAAGTTAGATTAACAAAGCGGAGTCACAAAGAAATGCAGAATGATTATCCTCAAGAAACTAACACAAGATTTGAAGTGTCCATGGAGAAAAGCATTTATCAACGAAACCAAGACGAAGAAAACACATTCTCACCAGACATTGGGATCGACTTTAGCAGCTTTATCAAAATAAGCCTTAGCTCTTTCAACATCGCCTGCTTGTTCGATAATTGAGTCTCCTGATCGGCTGACGTGCCTTCATTAACAAATTTTTCACAAATTAGAAAGGTAAATACCTCAGCAAACACATCGGTTGCAGATGCGAATCAACTGAAGCACAAACTAACCAAAATTTAGCGAAACGAAAAATATCAGTAAAAAAAATGATCGAAGAACACTGTATTGAAAGCATACGTAAAACACAAGCCAAACATTTACCCGGAAAAATCCACCCGAAACCCGACGGCACCGATACCCCGCGCTTTCTCGAGCACAGTGAGTACAATTTCTGAGAGAGTGTTTTAAGAAAGAAAAGGTGAATTAATATAATATAATATCAATTTCATCAAAAGATTATGTAAATTCTATGAGGAGAACAAATTTGATTAAGGTACGTAATTAAAATCGAGATAATTGTTTTTTAATTAAGTATTTTTTGTTTTGAATGCCTTTGTAATGTGTGCACGTTTTTCTTATTCTACATCGCCTGCGTGTGTGTATATGTATTTACTTAAAATATTAGATGATTTTGCCAAGAAATAATTAAAGAAATTATTTAAGCATCTTTTTAATTGTTTAATTTTATTTTCTTTGATAATTATTTACTTACCACATGTGATATCAATAATTCATCTGAATATACAATTAAACTTTTTAAAAAATTTCAATCAATTATTTTAATTTTATCAGATCTATTTTTGTTTTTTGTGACGTGATATTAATACTTTGTATTAAACTTTACATATTTTTTAATTAATTATTTTATATCTACGTAATATAGAATTTTATTTGATTTGAGAAATATAAATTAACATATATGGTTGTAGATTAACCACTCTAATAATAATTACATACAGATGATGCAGAAGGAGGTAGACAATTTGAAAAAGAGGGAAAGAAGTACCAAAAGAAGCCCAAAGGTTGTCACGTGAAATGACTATACTGACCCAGAAAAGCAAGATGAAATAAGGACATAAGAACATTTTAGTCAATCCAAAAAAGCAAGAAGAAATAAGGACATTTTAGTCAATATATCATTAAAGAATCAAATAAGAAAACGGATGCAAAAACAAGAGCCAAAAGCAAATAACAATGAGGTAAAAGGAGCTCAAACATTAAGCCACGTGTCAAGTTTCTAGCTACCTTCCAGTTTTCTTATATAACTAGGAGGCTCTCGCCGTGCTGGGCCCACGGAGGTTAATTGATGGTTGTTAACGCATCTTTGCAACATGTAATAAAATTATGTGTAAAAGCAATTGGTAAACACATGGAAATAGCATAGCAGGTACCAAAAGAAGCATATTGTTGTAGTTATGGGTACAGGCAACAAAACAAGTAGCAGAAAGTGGCAGTTTGCAAAAGATGACACACAAAACAGCACATTTGCAAAATTTAAAAACATCTATTTCTAAATAGATGTTTGTAATTCTGTTAAGCTGCCCCAAAAAAACACACAGAAACCGAAAAACCAATACAGTTTGATGTTGTTCATTGACAGCAAAAGCAAAAGCCTAGGCACAAAGGTTCTAATCCATTTTTGGGCGCTTTTCTTTGAAGGACTTGTAGTGGGATTGTGTGGTACTTTAAGGTTTGATTGTGAGGTGACTTGTGGGCTGTCGAAGCTAATGCGTTTTTTGGCTGAGCTTTTTCTTTCTGGAGTGGGAAGGAGTGGAGCTTTTTCAGTTTTCACGGCAAGTGACTCTAACACGTTTTTGAGCGTCAGGCTGAAGAGATTTGGGTCGGCTGCTTGTTTTATAAAAATTAGGAATAACTTTAGTATATTTTTGTAATATGAATTGGGTGAAGGTATAATATTTATGTAATACCTTTGATGGTGTGGATGTGGAGGGCTCCTTGTCAGCTGATTTTGGATTAGCTATATTTTCTTGCACTATCATCATTTCACCAATGTAAAGCTTGATTATTGTGTGATGAGCCGCCTCAGAATATTTAATGAAGCAGGTGACTTGGTGCTGTGACTGCTGCGGCAATTTGTTGAGTTAGGTTATGGCCCTGCACGAAATTGTAACACAATGTATGAAACTTATTTGAATGGTTGTTTCATAAAATCTTTTTTTTTTTTTTTTTTCACAATAAGTTGAGTAACTGGATGTTAAACTGAAGATTTTTGGCCTAACCAAAGCAACACTAATTTGTTTTTTCAGCCGCTTGCAAAGCAGAGAACATGTGAAGTAGGAAATTAAAAGGGGCAACCAGAAAATTTCTTTTAAAATAAGCAGTAGTTTATAGTAATGACATTAGCAGAAAACATTGAAATAAATATTTATGCTATAAGTACCTGTTGGTCTGCCTCATAAAGCTGATTGCCATTGTAAGGGATTAATTGTTCTGCATCAGCACCATATATTATTGCATATATGGTTCCAGTTTTATCTTCAATTGCCACTGGCAATCGGCACCTAATGTAGGTAAATAGTTATTTGATTGTGATTTAATTTATAACAATGTGTATTTTTTATTTGATTTCATTCTCTGTGTAAATGGTACCTTGCTTCTACATGAGATCTTCTCGGCAGCTACGGCATTTTATTTGAGTGTTTGGGGGCACGTTGTAATTTTTGCGACAAATGTGGCATGCGGCAGCCCACAAAGGTATGTTGTCATTATCGAATTTGACTTTGCCACTAATCCAACAAGTTTTCATTTGTTCCAATTA